TTAAATTATAATTAATTTTAATTATTTAATTTAGTACAGAAAGGGCCAGAGTGAGGTCTTTTGGAGTGTGTAGGACATTCTATGACGCTGTAGTTGCTTCGGCAGTGTTTTACACAGTTGTCCGTTGGGCTGGTGGATGTCCTCAGAGGGACAGGAACTGTCTTGACAGGCTGGCGCAGAGGGTTTGTTCTGTCCTAGACCAGGCATGGGCAAACTAAGGCCTGGGGGCCGGATGCGGCCCGTTCAGCTTTTAAATCCGGCCCGCCAAACTTTATTCTATAATTATCATTATCATCATACTTCTGCCTTTTCCCTGCAATACCCACGTTTCCCCAATAGATGGTGTAGAAAATGATAAAAGCACTTTAGCATTTTAGTCCTTATGCATGACTTTTACATGTCATTTATGTCAATTATTCTGCAGTTGCAAAGGCTGACCACTGTATGGCAATGTTGGGTGATTCTCAGGCGTCCACTCTAGAGGCTTATATGCAACACTGCCATCAAAAACCTATTCTTATCATAGAAAATGACATTTTAATAGCTGTCCACTGTAGTGACTGTCATGCATGAAAGGGTTAAAGACACCCTCTGTGTTAGTAAAACAGTCTTGGAGTTGTAGAAGTGTGTTTTTGGGCCATGTGGTGGTCTTGGTCAGATATATAATGCTTCTGATTTGGGTGTATGCATGGGTGAGGAGTAGAGAGAGGTAATCTGACTGGCCTCAATGTGAAAGTAGTATGGATCTTTATGCCTGCTCAACGTTGGTGTAAACATGGTTTAACCCTTTCATGCATGACGGTCACTACAGTGGACAGCTATGAAAATGTCATTTTCTATGATAAGAATAGGTTTTGATGGCAGTGTTGCATATAAGCCTCTACAGTGGACGCCTGAGAATCACCCAACATTGCCATACAGTGGTCAGCCTTTGCAACTGCAGAATAATTGTGTTAACATTCAAAAAGAAAATTTGGTGTATAAAAACAGAACCAAATCAGTTCTTATTTTTATGTCTAAAAACACTTAGTAACATTTTTTTAACTCAGTATATCATGGGTCATGCATTAAAGGGTTAATATGTTTCTCTTTCTGGTCGGACACAATATGTTGGGAAGGTTTAGGCAGGACAGACTTCAGCTTTTCCTTGTTAAAGTCACCTGCAATAATGTAAAGGTCTTCAGGGTCGGGGTTTGTGTCTGATAAATGCAATAGAGCTATGCTAATGTTAGCATTTTTAAGTTCGGTTAAGAGTGTTTATGGATGGTGATATTGTCTCCGGCCTAGTTGTTGTGCACATTGATGCATTGACCACTACTTTGGACTATAAGTCACACTTTTATGAATTCCTCGGCCTTGATTGTGACTTGTACTGCAGAGCAACACATATCATTTTTTTCTTCTACATTATGCGATAATAAGCAACTTTTGCAAGATTTTCCTCATGATACGAGGAAACATCAAGTTATGAGTGCTCAACCGAGCTCCATTTTTTCACTCTCTCTATCTTTCCCTTTCCCTCTCTATATCCTCTAAATCGAGTCCTATCTCCCAGTCCTTCTCCTACCTTAGTGGCCGGACACTGTCGTGCTGCCTCACTCACTGTCCCTCAATGGGTTATTTTACCCATTTTTATAACAATAAAATAAAAAATGTTTTCTTGCTTTTTTTAATCAATATATTTGTTTATATTTATGTTTTTGATGTTTAGATGGGGGGGGGTTCAATTACTTAATTAATAGTATATTTCTGGGCGACTGGAACCAATGCATTGGTTTTTAATTATTTTCAATGGGGAAAATGCATTTGCATTTTGTATGACTTCTTTCTGCTTTTCATTCTTCCAATATAAATCTCTTGCAGCACAGACGGTCCTGTGGGACAATCACTGTGGAAAAAACAGGACTTTTGGTCATTGGGTAGAAGACCTGCCATCCCCTTAAGCCTTGTTCACAGAGTATAAAAGTGGCGCTCAGCTTCAGGTTGGACACAGCAGTAGAAGGAGGAACAGGCATGTCTCCGAAATGTGGACCAACAACACCTTGAACCCTCCATACTTTCAGTTTACTATGTTTGCAGACTTTGGGACTTCACTCAGATCCATCTGCTTCTGTCTCTGTCTGCTTATCTATTTGATTATCATTGTTGCTAATTCTGCTATTGCCATGATTGTGATTTCCCAGAAGTCTCTGCATCGACCCATGTACATCTTTCTCTGCTGTCTCTCGCTGAACTCTCTTTATGGCTCAGCCGCCTTCTTTCCCCGTTTCCTCAATGATGTCCTGTCTGACGCTCACCTTATCTCACGTGCTTCTTGTTTCGCTCAGATGTACGTTATTCACAGCTGCAAAGGACAGGAAATTAACATCCTTACTATCATGGCTTATGATCGATATGTGGCTGTTTTCCAACCGCTCCGATATAACAGTAAAATGTCTCTGTCGGTTGTCAGATACCTCCTTCTTGCAGCTGTTCTCCACCCGGTCTTTGTCTTCGGTTTTATTTTCTACCTCACAGCAAAGTTGCCACTGTGTGAAAACAAACTGAAAAAGATGTACTGTACCATCTGGAGTGTCGTGGAACTCTCCTGCGTGGACACCAGAACCCTGGAAAACATCAGCCAGTTGCTTGTGGCCCTATTCATTTTCCTTCCTCTGGGTTTTGTTCTGTACACTTACCTGCGTATCCTGCTGGTGTGTCGCAGCCGCTCGTCTGACTTCAAGAAGAAAACACTGCAAACCTGCATCCCGCACATCGTCACTTTTGTTAATTATTGCACCGCGGTCTTCTGTGAGGTTACGTTGAGTCTATTTACCATTGAAAAAGCAAACATGTTTGTGGTAGCAGTTCTATCGCTTGAGTTTCTCCTCATCCCACCGGTCAGCAACCCCCTGGTCTATGGCCTGAATCTGCCACAAATCAGAGCTGTGATTGTTAGACGGGTCAAGCTCTTCAAAATTTGTTTCAAACCGAACCGGACTCAAATAGATTCCACAATGACATCATCATTTTAAAACATTGAAGCAACTATTGTGTGTTTTGCTATTGAAATGCTGGTAAAATTGTGGCAATAATTTATATGTTTTTACTATTTCGGACGAACTGAATATTTGTGGCATTTGTGACTTAAAATTATTTTTTGTAAGACTTTGATTTTTGTATTAATAATATTGTTGAGAGTTTTAGGTAAAACAAGGATTTTTTTTTAGAAGATGGCTTCTGTGAAGATAGCTTTTCTTTATCTCTTGTTATAATTTTTTTATTTAATTTTGTTTAAATATGAACTGTTAAATTTGACTTTTACTTAAGTATTTCAGTAACCATTACATTTATGATTTTTCTTTTTGTATTATACTTGTAGCTAACGGTTAAATTGCCAACCGAATTTATGATTGGAACAATAGTGCAACCTGCTGGCGGATTATAGAAAGACAGCATATTCAGCTTTTTCATACGTTCAAAATAATGTCAATGTGTAGTCTCTTTTTAATAATAATAATAATAATAATAATAATAATAATAATAATAATAATAATAATAATAATAATAATAATAATAATAATAATAATAATAATAATAATAATAATAATAATAATAATAATAATAATAATAATAATAATAATAATAATAATAATAATAATAATAATAATGTACACATATCAATACTACATAAAATCAATATAATAACATCATGCTAATAAATATAAAATAGGGTAATTATATATATATTTAATTGTATCGCTATGGTTTGTCTCTTTTAAAGTATCAATGTTTTGTCACTGAATTAGTTCAAAATAGTTTTCTTTCACTGTTTGAACTGGTATCGCTCAGAAAAAAAAATCGTCTATATACATACATATAATGATTTAGAAGTTTCAAAATAAAGCTTTTACATAAACCAAAAAATGTTTCCTTCCATTTAAATTGAACTGTTCTGTGATAATTACATTTTTTGTTATATTTTAACCATTTTAACTCCTACACATATAAAGATCAACTAGTAAAAAAAAAAAATTTTGTCTGGAGTTACGGGAAAGGGAATGCATGAATGTCTCCGTTGTGGAACGAATAAAGGACTTCTTAAATTAACAATAGTCAGACTTTTATTGTGAAAAGTACAGGCCTTTGGTTCTGTTTTGGTAAAAAAATGAACCAATATGGAATGGATGCTGATACAAAGAACACAATCACAACGGCTTCAAAACTTTATTCACTTCCAGTAAATGGCTCAGACTCTGACACTGACTATGATGTCATCATCATGCGCCTGAGGTCACTGTGCGGCAGTCAGCAGAAAGCTGAGGTCACTTCCTGGGGAGTATTCAACAGATGGTTGACCTCTAAAATATGAAAACATTCTTTTAGAGCAAGGTAAGTCAGCTGACCCTCGAACACATGCACATAACTTCAATTTTGTGCAAAGACACACATACATGAAACAGATGTAAAGACAGACACTGAGAAAAAGACAAAGACAAGACAGGGAGGCAGAGACATAGACAGGGGATGTAGCCAAAGCCAGAAATGGAAATAGAAAATGGAGACAAACACAAAAATGGAGGCATAGATGTCAGTGTAGAGACGTTGAAGAGACAACGATAGAGACAGACATGTACATTGAGACAGAGATGAACATGTAGACGGAGACGACAAAATTACCTCATGAAGAGTCTGGCCTTGGTTGTTCCTAGCAGTGTGGCCTTGTCTCCTTCCACCAGCAACATGCAACCTTCTCGCAGACCCTTAAATCACCAACAGAAGAAGTGAGAATCAAGAGGGACACACGGGTACACTGTCAAACATCATCAACATTGACTGGGTTCCCACTCTTTTCTAGTAAGAATTCTCCATGACATTTTCAGCTGCTACAACTTTTCATGTCAATTTTTAGTTGACATTTAAGACAACCTGAATTCATGTGACGAGGTATTTTCTGAAAGAAAAAGAAAGTAAAACTTTCTAAAGCCCTCTGAGACTGCACCTATATAGTTTTAGCCTTGATAACAAAAACTTACTCACTGAGATTTTTTGCAGTGCCTACAGTGCCCAATAAAAAACGTTTTGTAAAAAAATCTAAATACATTATGTATAAATGTTAAAAAAAAGGAAATAAATTAAAAATGTAAAAGTTCCTACTATTCCCATTTTTATTTTATTTTTTGCCACTGAAAGTGTTGACAAGTGCCAATAAGTGGTAATGTCACACGTTTTGTTCTTTTAGCGCTAGCTACAGACTGCAGTAGCCTATGTGATCCTGGCTGATGAAACCTTAACTCAAAAGTACTTAGCAGCATGATCATTCGATGCTGAGGGATGCTACATTTGGAACTGATTAGACGTTATCTATATATATTTATAATTCACTTTCTGTGAATTTCTCAACAGCTGAGTGCAGTTCCTACCTATTTGTTATGTTTTCAACAGAGCCTGAGAGAAAAACACTAATCGACCACACAGTATAGATCACGGACCAATGCTCAATCAATAATCTTCTTGATGCTAATTCATCAATTCGATCTGAAAAATCACTAAATGTTGTGCCAAGGTCATATGAAAAACGGAGAGCTGCACTGAGGCAACACACACAAGCAGAGAAGCCATGTGCTTTAATAATCTATCCATTATCTATTGTGTGTTCCTTTGCAGGACTGCAAGGGGCGCTAGAACCAATCCAAGCTATCTGCCTCTCTATATGAGGCCTATTGAAAGCTAACTTACACTGGGCCTCATATAGAGACAAACGAGTGAGACCAAGTCATTGCTTTGCAAGTCTCAAGTCTTTGCACTCAAGTCCGAATCATGTCCCAAGTCAAAATAGGCAAAGTCCGAGTCCAATCCAAGTCAAGACTGAAAAGTGTCAAGTCAAGTCCCAAGTCCTGCCGTTTCTGTTTTCGAGTCCTTTCGAGTCCTTCCACTCACTGCCACTCGTTTTTTTTGTTGACCATCTCGTAGTTTTTAAATCCCAACAACACGATCTTTGCTATCATTTTCTCTAACCCGCGCATTGTTCGACAGCTACTTTCTCATTGGTTGTGCCGCAGTTTGATTGGCTCGATATTATCGCGTCGAAACAACGTGGGTCTAATTTGATTGGATGTTGTGCCGCATGTATACATGTGTACATACAGTATCTTTGCTATATATCAGTGGCTGTTGTGAGCGTGTTGAGTGAGTGTAGGTGTTGTGTTGTACAAAACAATAGTGTTGACTTACCAGCACACAGGGTGTCCCCGGTTCTTCGTGGAACTGTGTAATTCTCTGTTCTCTGGTCTCCTGTTGACAGAACCAGAACCACTAAAATCAGGTTTGGACCTTGGACTGCCTGTGATTCAGTTAATCTGGTCGGATCTGTACTCTGTCCCCAAGGAAGATAAGGTTGTCTTATCTTTGGCTGTACTTGAAAACCTATCCCTAGACTGGGATGAACCAGTTGCAGCTGCAACAGGGTGTGTAAAGGTTGAAGGTGTCGTATGATCAAACATCACATTGTGATCATTAATTGACATTTGCCCCAACTTCCAATGTTCCAATGTTCTTCCTTTGAATGTTCTCCTTATGAAATCTTTCAGCATATATTAGGGGCAGAATCTATATTTTTCAAAAGGTACAAAGCCTCTTCTTTAGCTCCCTATCTTGCATTTCTTTTAAAGAACATATTTTAAAAAAATAGGTTCTTTTAAAATAGTTTTGCAGAGAAAAAAAATCAGATGGAACTAAATCAGGTATATATATATAAGGAGGTGCATTGACGCTAGAAGGTGAAGAGTCTCCAAACAGTTTTTCATTCAAGATTGGTTATAAATTTGATGTTGCGCTAACTACATTTTTTCAATTTTAGTTGAAAGACAGGTTAAAATGTAATGTAACACGCAAAGGTTTGACAGTACGGAGCCCCTAAAGGGACATGGGGGGGGGGGGGGGGAAGAAACGTATCTCGCACGAGATCTAAGACTTTTTGCCACACATACATACAGCGTAATACATTAAAAAAAAAAAAACAATCATGTACAGTACGTACGGTTGGGAAACCTAAGATACCGTCATGTCATGCGTGACATATGTACTGTATATATGGTGAGCATTTAATTAATGTAGAGTACCTCATTTAGACACAGGAGGGCACTGTTGTTGTTGTTGTTCTACTGTTGATAACAGTGTAGGGAGGTTCGTGAAGGGTAAATACGTAATACGTAAATACGTAAATATGAGCACGAGATACGTTTCTCTTTTTTTTTTCTTCCCCATGTCCCTTTTGGGCGGGGGGGGACAACTCCTTTTTCTTGGGGGCCTACCAGTCCATAGGTCATTTGGTACTTCAGTCATATCCGTTTACTTTCTATATTCAAAGATAATTTGTCAAGATTTTAAAATATTTCATTCAGACTCTGATACAAGCAGAATAGAGTCTAAAGGATGTTTAATTTTGAAAATGTAATGATCCTCCAATGCTCAGCTCCTTGGTACTGGTCTGTAGTAACAGGTACTGGTTGACCAGTCCTTGGAACAAAAAAGGTTGGGGACCACTGGTATAGATGTAAACCGCTGGTATAAATGTAACACATGTTTCTGTAATTGATTATTATTACAAATAGTGTTCATTTGCTGTGTAATAAAAAAAAA